CACACTGACTATAGAGGAACCTCGTAAATTTTGTGTCTTGCTTCATTTATTCCACTGCACCCACCGTCAATTTTACAACAGAAATTTCATTATAAAACTTGCTAAGATGTGATTTTCTCCATCAGATGACAACCAAATGCCAAAACTACAACACCATTAGTATTCAACGCGGTGGCTGAATTAAAAAGTTAAAAACAAATAAATAAATAAATTATAAAAAAAATGAATGAGAAATTGCATTGCAATGTCAGAATCAAAATTAAAAAACAAAACAAGAAAATAGACACTGCATTATAATGTCTGAATCCAATATAAAAAACAAAAATAGTAAACGAACAGCATGTTGCAGTGTTTGAATCCAAATGCAAAAGTTAGGAGTCGCACGAGGTGTTAAGTATAGAAGGCGTATGAGTGATGAAAAAAAAATAGACCTAGAAAACGAACACTACAACGCAACGTCTCAATCCAATAAAACCCAAAGCAGAAAAGATACATTGCATTCAAGTGTCTGAATCCATATTGACTTATTCCAAAATATAAAACATATGAAAAAAGAGTGTCATTTAAAGTGGGTGTCAGCTGTAATGGCAGATTTTGTAATTTATGTTTATCTTAAATACATTTAAGTATCACAATACATGATTGACTTATTTATAATTAACATAATATTCATGATATATTATTAATATTGTAACTTTTTATTGATTTTATACGACAAGAGACTTAAGACGATTTGACATTAAAGTTCTTTATAACAAACAATAGATTAACTACACTAAATTTGCAAAAACCACGAAAAAGAGATACGAACTTAAGTGCAAAGACCGGAGCACACGAAAAAGAGATACGAACTTAACCGCTGTGTCCTTATATTTTCTCATTCCTCGAGCACGCTGCTTACACGATCCTCACGAGAAGAATTGATATCCCAACAAAAACATGGACAATGTCACAATACAAGATACAAGTACATAATGGTAAAAATTGTAGAACAATGGGGGTCATATCAACTTGATCACTCATGAGTTTGGGTAATCGAGTGTGTTCATTTGACACCACAAGTAAACAATGTCTCTCGCAATAATGAAGGATTTGACTCTGCAATTTTCTGGTCAACACATTTACGAAAAAATGGAAGCTAAATTCTACCCTAAATTTTAGGGTGAGCCGGACGGATGTTCTAACCTCACGTTACAACATCACAAAACAGCGAGGGCCTGTCAGCTTGCAACAGGAGAAGACAATTGCAGCAAGGAGCCGAGTCTGCAGATGACATGCCGGAGCAGTATTTCAAACGAAATTTTTATTCTCTTGGGACATGGATTCAGTGAAAATTATCGACATCCATGAACTCCACAGCAAAGGAAGCCACACGCAAGTCGCACATTGAGCAAAGAGAACAATTGTCGACACTTAAAATACACATAATTGGCTGCTTTCCTCCAGATTTCATGACCCTGAAACAGCTGTAGCTAACGGCGGCCACCAGTTCGACTTTTTGGCCGTGCTGATTTCTGCAATTGTTAGAATACAGAGAAGAAAGATATTCAGCAGATGTATACTGCAGCATCAAGTAAACTATATTACTAGAGATGGAAAATTAATTCCATCTGCAGTATAGAGCTATTGTACATGAACATAATAACTAAAAACTTAATTAGCATTAGCTTCGTAACTTCGAAGCTCATGTTTGTTTAGGGAGCAAATTTTGAGTTACATCAAGTGCAACGTGTCTGAACTCAGAGAGCTGAAAGAAAATTCACTCACCGTTGAAGTAAAGCTAGAATTCAGCCCTGATCCAGCACTACCTGTAAAGTGATAAAAGCATTGGTCAATCAAGCCTAAATTAGGACAAAAGATTCGCAAATGTGCCAACAACTATTACCAGCAGAGTTAACTAAGTTACGTCAAGATACAAGATGTACAATTTTACATATTTACAACACTGTAGAATCTTTTATGGTAAACAAAATTGTATAATTGTAGAATCTTTTATGGCAAATGAAATTGTAAAATTGTGTATGGTGAATTATATCAAAGTTTTCATGGTTACGTTGTACATGATATTTAAAAACAACTCACCTACGTCTATGTTATGTGAACGAGAACAAGTCCAAATAAAGTATAGGTACCAATCAGAAGAATTCCTCAGTCTGTATAAACTACTGGGCAAACAACTGACTCTCCCAAACTGTATAGCTCAAAACAGAGCACACAGTTGAGAACTATATGGTGGCCACTAATAAATTTACAATAACGAACCAAGGAGATACATGCTGTCTTGGACACTGCTTATACATAATGCAATTTCAACTACTAATCCCATACAAAATGCTCCTTGGTAAGTTTTGACCTCCACGTACAAAAATAGAACCATGACAATCTTGGGAACAATGTAAAATCATAAATTTTTATACCAAAGGACTTCTGCATGCATTCGTTCTAGCATACACTATCATAAAGAGAGATTTCCCTTTAACGCATTCAATGCCTCAAAACCATCTTTCTGTTCTCAAATTCTCAAATTATAAGGAATAATATTTTTTTTTCATTAAATGTAGAAGTCCTGAAGTAGGTTTAAGAAGAATCAGAAGAAACCTGAAGTAAATAATGAACTTCCAAGAGGAGTAGTAGAACCGAAGCCTGGAGTAGGATTGGAAAACAGAGAGGGAGTTGAAGCAGGTCCAAACGCTGATGAAGAACTAAACAGTGATGCCTGAGGTGTAGCAGATGGTGTTGAAAAAAGAGAAGATGCGGGACCCGAAGTGGGTGGTGTAGCAAACAGAGAGGAAGACGTGGAAGTAGATGGAGCAGAAGGGGTACTGAAAAGTCCACTCCCAGATGAAGCTGTAATGGTAGCTGCAGATGTCTGTGGGGCAGTTGATGTCCCAGGAGTTCCTGAACTGGCAAACAACCCAGCAACTTGTGTTGATGGTTGCGAAGTTGCAGGTAAATGCAAAGTTGGATGCACCCTCTTAGCAGCAGCTTCTTGCCTAGCAGTTTCCCGCCGATCAGCCTCGAGAAATGGATCATTCCCATCCCCTTGGCGGCGCTGGTTAACAAGATAAGCTGTTTTCATGGACACAACGTATTGATGAATACTCTCCACCTAAAAAACACATCATATCATTGATTAGTAATCATACGTGCAGGTTTTAGCTGATAAAATCCATAATGAAGTACATTTTACTGCATAACTGTATGAATAATGTTAACTAAACAAAATATCATTCATTTTGTTCACCTTAGCTGCCACGTGAACAAAAAAATCATGCACATTTTTCATAACTTTTGGAAGAGACTGCAACAACGAGGATCTATCATTGGCAGAGGTCCTCTCTGAGTCCAGAAGCAGCTGCTCTAATTCTTCAATCCACTGGCGACACTCAACAAGATACTTCTCGAATCTTGCAATTGTTTGCTGTAGGAAGGGAGATGGTTTCCTTGGAATCCCATTGTAAAAATCAAAAACTGGCACTATAGAAGTAGCTGTTGGTTGACTACTTGAACCTAGTGGTACAGTTGCTCCAGGAGCTTGTGATGGGGCAGTAGCATTTGAAGTACCTCCTGCATTTGGATGAAGAAACCTTGGGCGTAGAATCATGAAAGAACGAACAGCAACCTCGCTGTTCCGCAACATATCTTTCACAATAGCCATCAGCTCGTGCAGAACAGCTTTCTGTCGGTCCATGGAAGTACCAATACCCCCAAGTTCCTGTAAAGATAACATAAGAATTTGAAAATCCTGTACCGGCGAATTTTGATAGCACCTGTTGTCATTACGAGGACTCTAAATGTTCTTGCAGAAGTCACAAATCAATCATAATTTGAGCCCCGCAGTATATAGTGTAGTATATAAACAAGAGTACTAAATCCACTAAAACTAAAGCAGTTTGCTTGCAATGACCAACTCATAATAACAAGATTGCAACCAGAGAAAAAACAAACAGTAATCGCTATTAGAAAATTTGATCAGTTCAAGAAACAAACCTGGAGAATATGACTTGCGTCATGCTCAAAAGCATCATTCGAAATTGATGAATCGTAGAGGCGACTACACTGATCCAGCCGCTGGCTTTCATCCCTATATCCCAGTATCCGTTCCCTGCAAGCAACAAATAGTTATCTCAGCTGATAATTATAGGAGTAAGAAAGAAAACCCAAGTTGTGAACTATACACTAAATCTTATGGAACTCAATACAAACTAAACCCAAGTTTTGAACTTAATTAAAACCCAACAAATATAGTGAAAAAAATAATTCACTTTTCGGAATCTAATGCCGCAATTTTGCTTAATACCACTTGACACAACAAAAAAAGACTCAAAATTTCACTTTCTTTCCCTGCATTTTCTCAGCAACCAATCAAGCCAAACACCCCAAAAAAATCACAATGGCGAATCAAGAAAAAGGCTACAAATTTATTCACAGAAATTCAGAATACGTACTCAATTTGCAGAAGAACTTTCTGGGAATCCGGATGGAAATCCGCCCACTTGGTACCATAACTCGCCGGAGTCTTTTCGTTCGTAAACAAGTACAATTGCTGCTGCTGCTGCTGCTGTTGTTGCTGCTGCTGAAATTGAGGCTGTTGAAACAGTGGCTGCTGCTGAAATTGCGACTGTGGGAACAGCGGCGGCTGCTGCTGCGGTAGTTGTTGGGAGAAAAAGGAGCTGCTTTGCTGAAAAGGCTGCGAGGCCTGTTGAGTTTGAAACAGCGATTGCTGCTGCTGTTGTTGGGGCTGCGGCGTGGAGAATAATGACGAGAACGCCATTGCTGTGGGTTTTGTGGGCCGTTTTGGAATTGGGGGTCGTAAAATTGGGGAAGACGAAGAGACCCGTTTCAAAACCCTAGAGAGGGAAAAAGATCAAGTGAAAAAAGACCCGCCCTTTGTGCAGTGTTGGACTTGGAGTGAAAAATTGAATGAAATCTTATTTTTGCATCCGATTTTTCTCGTGACAACTTATAAATAATGTTTTTTTAATAGAAAAATGAATATATTAAAGAGAATAACTTCTTACATAGCCAGTGCCATTACAATCGAAAAGAAATGCCATATTAGCTTCCATTGGGAGACAAGCATCACAAATACACAAATCTTTTTTCTTAAGCCCAACAAATGCAATTGCATCCGCAACAAAATTTGTTTCCCTAAAGATATGCCTCCACTTGATATCATGAAAATTTGTAGCGCACCACCTGATGTCTTCAATTATGGATCTTAGGTTCCAAGGCACATCACAAGCATCACGAACCGCATCAATGACAAGTTTGGAATCACCCTCCACAACCACGTATTTCAAATTCCTCCTCCTAGCCCAAATCAATGCTTCCCGTAAAGCAAGAGCCTCGACAACATTAATGGTCACAAAGCCTAGGTTCAAAGCTCCCGCGAGGATAGGTTTGCTATCCCAGTTTCTAACAACAAAACCTCCGACAGCTACAGAGTTTGAAACCAAGCCATCAAAGTTAATTTTAATGTAAGGGGAAGTTGGGCATTGCCACTTAATCAAGTTTTCTTCTGCAACTGCTCCTGCTTCCTCTAAGTGACTCGAATTCTCCTTGAAATAATCATTAACCATAGTCATGGCTCGAGTAAAAAACCTGTAATGAAAGGGTTTCTTATTTTTTTAAATACTTGGATTTCTATCATTCCAAATTTGCCAGCAAATTACTAAAGCTTTGCTTAAACTACTCACTATATTCCTATTGCGGTGTGGCAAGCCACCCAACCATTCACTCACCTTGAGGTTACTGTCCATAATTGAAAATAAATTATCATTTGAGCAGTTCCAGACCTGTTTAGCATATGAACAATGGAGAAAAAGGTGATCCTAATCCTCGTCATGGCTGTTACACAACGGACATTGGTTATTTAAGTTTGTTAAAAACTTGCTAAGTCTCTTTTTAGTTTGTAATTTACCCTTAACAAGACTCCAGGCGAACAACTTAATTTTTTGCGATACTACTTCCTTCCAAATCATATTCAAAATATTTTGCGATGAAGAGGAACCCAAGTCCTCCATTTGAAGCCAAGTTGCATATTTAACTGAGAATTTGCCATTGTTACTTGGGCCCCAAACTATAGTGTCCATGGAGCCAACGAGAGGGAGAGGAATGTCACAGATTTTGTTAACAATGTCACTATCTATTACATGACTTTGTTTGTTTCTATCCCACTGACCGTCAACGATAAACTCAGCAACCTTGCTATCCTACTGGATATGATGAGTTTGGTTTTCTAGTATGAGGTGAAAGAAGGGGTAAGGAAAAACCCAGTTGTGGGCCTAGAACAAAATGTCCCTGCCATCACCGACCACCCACCTCATACCCTTAGAGAGAATATCCCTAGATCCTATAATGCCTTTCCAAGCAGCCGAGTGGTTTTGCTTTGCTCTAGACTCCATAAAGGAATCAATTCTAAGATATTTCCTTCTAACTATATTAGTCCACCAGTTATCCTTATCAAACAAAACTTTCCACCCCAGCTTAGCAAGACAAGCCCTATTGAAATGTTCAATGTTTATGATACCTAAACCTCCAGCCTGTTTAGGCCTACAAACATTTTTCCAACTCACTGGATTACATTTATTAGCATTACCCCAGAAAAACTGTCTACAGTCTTCATTCAATTGACTAGTTAGTTTATGAGGACGCTTGAAGCAAGACATAATGTGATTAGGCACACCTGTAAAGTAAAAAGAAAAAATGTTTAGGAGGAAGAAGAAAAATGTTTTTCCTTAAAGAAAAATGAAAAATTAGATTGAAGTCACATGCGCGTAAAGTAAGAAGTAGTTATTTTAAAAGTGGAAATAGATCGTCAGTAAGTTTAATTAATATGTAACTAGTATTTGTCTGCATACTTTGTGTGTATAAACATATTTTTTTAGAAAATGAGAAAGAGAGAGAGAGAGAACGTAGAGGAGTGGGAGGTTTTGTTTTTGGGTTTTTTATTTTTTATAAATATTTGAGGTATTTTAACATCACATATAGGTGAGCTTAATAAAAAATAGTAAAATTTGGATCTGTAAAATTACATTATTACCTTTTTTTGTGATAGAAGATTAATTTGTCTTTTCATCCTTTTTTATTAATAAAGAATATTTTTTTAATTAGTAGATATTACTATTTTATTCATGATTAGTAAGTAAATAATTAAACTGATAACGCGGTATACAGAGTACGCCTACATTGATGTGTGAATGTATTAATGATGTGGTCCAGGAGGTGGACACGAGAATTGACTTTGTACTTCGGCCTTTTTTTGTGATGCAAAAGCAATGACATTCAACTTGAAATTCAAATACATCAGGACGTCTTGGATAATGCCAGAAGAAATCTTATTTTATACTATTGCACTATTAATAGAAAATGCGTATTTAATATGACGATGGGCAACCTCATTAGACTATCTCCAACCCTTCTGCCCTAAAATTTTAGCCCAAAATTATTAAAAAATGAACTTAGGCTAATTTTTTTTCTTAAATCAAATTTAAAAAAAAAATATATGTAGATTATTGTAAATTAATTTTATGAACATTTTAATCTAAAAAAATTTAAATTTAGATAAACATTTGGCATTTAGCCCGGGGGGAAAGCTGGGGGGGGTATTTGGCCCAGAAATAACATTTGGCATTTAGCCTAAAATTTTAACATGGGTTGGAGAGTGTTTTGGGGGGGGGGGGTAATTTGGCTTTTAGCCCAGGTTTGAAGAGTTTGAAGATGATCTTAGAAATTGAGCAACATAAAATTCTTATTTGCAAGATTTTGTACTTCGGCCATTTTCTAGTTAACCAACAATATATGATTTCATAATTAACTTGGAGCTAATAACAATTAAATTAGGAAAAATTAGTATCTGGCTTCTAATTACTAATGTTCATTGGTTGAGACCTTATAAGTTTTTAAATTTTGATCGAAGTTTCTAACATTAATGTATTAATGATTTTACATGTCAATTACATAATTTTAAAATAAAAAATAGTAATTGATTAAGAGTTTTAATACTCAATCCATATTAAACTCCTAATTTATTTTCAATTCAAAAATTGCCAAAAAAGAAAAATTAGAATAAGTTTGTACACATTATTTTTTTGGTAAAAAGATTTCAATTTTTTAATTTTAAATGTACCCTTTCATATCATTTTCCAAATTTTTTTAATCATAAATGTACCCATTCTTAAATATACCAATTTGTTATATGTAAAATGTACCCCTTTTTTAAATATTAAATTAATTCACAATTTTCTAATCTATTTTTTAAATTATATGAGTACATTCTTTTTCGTTAATTTGAGAATGTATCCATGTCAAGTTTAATCGAAGAAACTTAATAATGGTATTAGGCCTTTTTTTTTTTGTGGTTTTGGAAAATGTACCCATGTTTTGATACAATAATATTTTGGTTAATTTTGATGAATGTATTCATGTTTATATACACACAATATATTGGAGAGTAAAATTCATCCTTTAATATTTTTAATCTCACAAACTATGGGTTTATTTAAATCTCATTAATATAAATAACTACAAATTTCAAATTTTAATTTAAAAGTATAAAACCTACACAGAAAATATTATTATATTAATTTTAAGGATTACATTAATGTCGAAGACTTCAATAAAAAAATAAAAATCAAGGTTTCAATCAAAGAACATTAATAATCAGGAACTGCATAGTCTCTCATTAAATTATATCAAGTTGTTCCATTTAACAATTCTTCTTCCTAAATGATACATTACCAACAAATATTACATCCCTAAATAAAAAGTCAAAAAACTGAAAAGAGTGTGGGGTTCGCAGAAATTTTCTCTACGTGAGTGAGAGCCCTTCTCTGGGAGTGAGAGTCTTTCTCTCTGTGAGTGAGAGAGGTAACAAAGCCTAGAGTTTTCCTTTTGTTGCCGACCCTAATTCCGATTAGGGTCGATGGCCTTTCCCTCTACGTCCTTTTTCTTTTCTTTTTTGTTGTTCTCCCCTGCTTTTCTTCCTGTTTTTTTCCATAGCCTTTTCACCTTCTTCTCTCTGTTTGCCTTTTCTGGCAACGTTGCTTGTGGTAATCCCACAGGCTTCTTTGATTTGGTGGTTGCGTTAGACGAGATGGTATCTGTTGGAAGACAGAATCCATTTTCTTTCCACCTCTGAGGTCCATTATTTTGTTTGTGTGGATATTGTATTTGAACCTCTAATTATGTAATTATGTTTTTGCTAATGAAGTAACCTCTAATGAAAAAATAAAAATAAAAATAAAAAATCAATATGGTAAACCTCAGTCGTATCAAGATTAAACAATCCCTAATGTTGATCACTTCCCTTAGGCTTGAGATCCTCCTTGAAGAAAGCAAAAATGGAAGCCTCCAATCCCTTTCCTGGTCTCTTTGGTGTCCCAACTTGTCTATGCTTTATCAGATTGCTAATATATGTCTTGAGCATTCTCAATATTTGTAGGCTCTTCTCCTTCTCCTTGTGAAAGCCAACATGTTTCACTAACGACAACCTCAACATTTTGTGCCCCTACTTTCTCATGTACCCTAATGCTCCATCTTGTACAATATATAACCTCTGTGGCATTCATCAATGCATAGTCTAACCCAATGTCTTGCGGGTGATTGGTAGGAAATATGGATATGCGTTGAAGAGAAAGAGGGGGAGGGGTGGGTGGGGTTTGCAAATGCTAGAGGAACCATTATTGAGGCTGCACCAGGATGCCATGTTCTGGCAGAAGCCGGATATATATGGTGATGCCAGTACATTTTGGAACAATGCAGTGGATAGAGGAATATCCGGGTTGGCCGGCTGCAATTAGGGCATCTCTGAGAGCATTTCCAATGAAGACCTTAAATGGAATCCCTACAATCGTATAGCCCCCAAGTATAGGGACAAATGGCTTCCAATGGGCTAGAATTGAAGTTCTTAAAGTATCTCAATACATAAGGACTCGTCGGATACTTTAAAAGAATTCTCAAATATAAGGACTACATATAGGGACTCAAATAGTGGACTCCACATTAATTTTGAGTAGAAATGATGCTGCTCTTTATGTTTTTTTCCTTGTTTTTTTGAACCCACCCAAGTGGGACAACTTCTCATTTGCCTTTTGTTTCTTAATTCTTGAAAAATCAAAGGTAGAGATAGTTTTTTATTTTTATTTTTATCAATGGTTACAATATTTCAATGAAATGAATAATAATTTTTTAATATTTTAGTCCCTATATTTAGGGATTATACTATAAGGAATTTTTGTTGTAAACAATATTCTTTTAGGGACTCGAATATTCCTCTAAAACTCCGAAATGAGTCCTCAAAGATGGTGGTGGAAGTCCCCAAATAGGGACTCCCATTGGAAATGCTCTAAGTTTTCGCATGGCAGGGACTACCATTTTCACATGGAACCATTTCATTGCCAACGGAAATACATCAAAGATTCACGGATGAAGCGAAGGGAATGACGTTGGTTTGGAGCCAAACGTTAGCATATGCTGGATCATTGGCTAGTGTTGGGACATCTGCGTTGAGCGTGCCTAAAATGACTTGTATTCCTGACCCTTTCAGTGCCTGCAGAACATCTTGTAAACAAACCTTTTGTTCACGTGCATCATTGAATTAGGTCGGCCTCCATATTGTGGTATATGTCTTGGACGGCTCCACAACTATGAACCGTGTGGGGTTGAAATACGAGAGTGCCCGCCCTTTCTTTTCAAGCAGGTTACTAAAAGATAAATTCTCTAAATGTTCCTGGACTTACATAACTCGATCACCTTGTCCGGCGGGAAGGTTGTCAGCTTGTCTGCCATAGTTAACTCCAACTCCTTGACCTCCTGCAACTTGACATTAAATCTGACATTGCTTTGTATACATAAATATATGCGTGTGAGTTTATGTGTGTATGTATATGTATATTATTTATATTGTTTTTACACGAAAAATTATATATAGGGAGGAAGTATTTACCAGCATAGCTCTGTAACTCAATGACAAGAAGCATAAAAGCTATTGCAAAGTAGAAGATGTAGTACTGCGTTTGGAGAAAAATAGGAGACCACCAACCACAATACTAAAACAACTAATACTTAGGCTTATTTTTAGTTATTCCTTGAAACTCGATTTTGATCTTATTTTGCCTCATGTAATTTAGAAGTCACACTTTACTCTCTAAAATTCAAAATTTGTTCCACTTTGACTCATGGACTCTCTCTTCTCTTTGAAACTCAAAAGTTGGCCCCAGGAACATATGTGCTAATGAATTTGAGTATAAATCTCCACTATGCATTAACATTTGACAATCAGAAAATGTTAAAGTGTAAAAGAAGAAATTAAGATTTGAAATTTTTTGGGTTGTTGTACTTGATTTGCAAAGATGAAAATAATAAAAAAGAAATTGATTAGCCTAGTGCCCCCAAATCAAATCCACATAACGGAATTAACAGAATTAAGGGACTGTGGAGCGGCAGCTTAAAATGACGACTTTTGAGTTTCAAGGGGCATAAAAATCGAGTTTCAGGGGATGAAGTTGAGCGATTTTTGGATTTCACAGAATAAAGTTACGATTTTTGAGTTGCAGAGAACAAAATGAACTTAAAATCGAGTTCTATGCGACGTAGCTAAAAATAAGCCTAATAGTTAAGGAGCGTATGAAACTTTGAGTTTTTTTTTTTTATTTATAGGAAAATTATGCAATTTGTAAACAAAAAAACAGGAAACCATAATTAATTTGTTTCGTGGTGTGCAAATAAGATTTTAGATTGGAGTTAATTTATGCTAATCTTATATTAATCAATAATTGCACATTGGATTCCTGCATCGGAAGTCTAGAAGAATCCTATATCATTATTGTTTACTTATATTAATCAACGTACTCCAACGTTAAAAAGACACATATATGACCAACTCGCCTAATCGCCATGATTTCTCATCACGTCTACCAATTGCGTGAACTTTCTCAACATACTTCAGCTCCAATATTCTTTCATTATTTTCTTAGGTAAAGTTCAGTTAAAGAAAGATGTTTAACATGGAAATAATCAATTGAAACTTACCACATATGCTAGTTGTTCATTTGTATAACATTCATGTATCATCTGACATGGCAAGTAATGTGTATTTATCACATCAATTAATGAATTATATTTCATTGGATGTTGAATGTATACATCACTTGCCACATAAAATGGTATTCCAACGTGGTTGACTACGTCATTCTAATATCCAGAGTTAGAGTTGCAGAGAGAAACTCCATTATGAAATCAAAGTGCGGAGCCAAAAAATTTCAATGGGGTTGACTACACTTTTTACCCGAGTGGGATTTGGCTTAGAATCTGTGCACTGAATACATTGGATATATCATATATAATTTAGTATCGAACTTGTCATTCAACCTATGTCAACCTAGTGTTGATGATTCTTACTTCGTTTGTTTAGTAAAATTGACATTTTTTCTTTCTTTCACCATTCTTATCATGCATGTGTGCTCGTTATTTAAGGCTTGTTTACTCATAGTAACGAGAATGAAAAGAAAGGGAACGAATTATCTTCATGACGTTCCTGTGTTTACTTGCATGTAAATTCATAACGGGGTTTTACCATAAACCCATAATGGAATAACCCAATTTCAAGAATTCGATTCACTAGGGGGAGGTGTCAATCCAATTTCATTTCCTTGTTACCGTTTCTCTTTCCGTTCGACCTTGTTCTTGCTTATATTCATTTTACTCTTTAACCGATTAATTCGTGCGTTTACGAGTAAAATTTTGAAACGCATCCATGACATCAGGATGGTAATATGAGTGTTGGATGTGTTTGATAACGGATTCATGAAGAACTCATATTCTTCAGAAATGACATAAACAAGTTAGGAGCAAAGCATAGAACCAAAATAAAATTTACTTGAATTTAGGCAGCAGTTGTTGGATATATAGAAAGGCCATTTAATTGGTGAATCTAAATTAGTCTCAAGCCCTCAACACTATCATTAAAAACCCTAGAGCTCTAAAACACAACATTCTCCATTACAAACCAAAAAGAGTAGAGAATTATAAGGAGACCCAATAGACACAGATTTTTATTTCACTTTAGTCCATTTCCAGGAGTAGAAATTGCCAACTCCGGCCAAGAACAGAACTCAGCTCCGACGGGTCCAACACCCACATTCACAATCCCACCACCCTCTCCGTTCTCGAGCTGCCACATGTTCATCATCCCACCGTGGGCCCCACCCGCAACACCATCTCCTCCCATCCCAGGAAAAGGCCAGACCGCTCTCCCAAGCCCAAAGCCCATCTCCTCAAACCCACCCGCCAGCCCAAGCCCGAACCCGCCCAGAGCCAAAAACCCACCAGGCCCGTGGGTGTTGAGCAGAGAAGTGAAGCTGCCACTGCCGCCACCGCCGCCGCATCCATTTCCCATGCTACCCTTCAAATCACTCAACTGTAAGGCGGCTCCGACACCTGGGTTGAGAAAAAATGGGGTGGCCGAAATTGGGTCGTTGTCAGAAGTTGTGGTGGTTGTGGCGACTGAGGCGGCGGTGCGGGAACGCTTGGCGTTTTTGCGGGTGCCGCCGCCGACGGGGATGTCGCGGAGGGTGCCCCCGTGGGTCCAGTAGCGGCGGCAGGACTTGCAAAAGTGGCGGGGCTGGGAGAAGTTGTAGTTGTTGTAATAGCAGAACTTGGTGTTGGTGGAGTCGCAGCGAGGGCAGGGCAGGTGCTCTTGCTCCGGCGGTGGGGCCCCCGTGGCCTGGGTGGCTTTCACCGTCCTCCGGTTCTGGCTGTTGTTCTGCTGCTGATCCCCGGAGTCCGACGGCATTTGGGTCTTTCGAATCAAACGGTTGAGCTGGGTTTTTGAGTATTTGGTTTTGGGTTGTGAAAAAAGTGTTTGGTATTTGGATGTTGAAGAAAGTTAGAGCGAGGGTGAGTTTTTGGTTTTGGGTTTTTGCTGTGAGGGGGTAAAGGGGTTTTTATGGAGGGGAGAGAGAGAGAGAGAGGGAGAGAGGTAGGGAGAGAGAGAGAGAGGAGAGAAAGGAACAGGATTTCTGAGGCATATATGAAGAGAAGAACAGACTGAACAGGCTTTTACAGTGTGTTCTGTTAAGCACGACATTTTCAGTCGGCTACAGAAGAGGAGAGAGAGAGAGGGAGAGAGAGAGAGAGAGAGAGAGGGTCTGTATTCTCTGATTTGGGTCGGCTAAAACTACAGCTACAATGCGGGCTCGACGACCTCACAAATCTTTATCTCTTAGACTAATTATTTAAATTAGCTATTAATTTCTATTATTTTTGGGGCTGAAAATTATTAGATAATTAACTAATATGTTCCCTAGTTATGGCTCCTATGAGTCTATGATTTGGGTGCTGGGGATTCAGATAAATATCCATTGGTCTGTTGACCTTTTGCATACATAATAATGCAACAATTTAAAATTTCTGTCTGTGTTTTAATGCATGTATAATCTAGCACTATACAGAATACAGATATATAGCAGCCTGTTTCTGAGATTTTATTTCACCTTTTGCATGCATGCATTCTGATGAGGCCTCAGTCCTGAAGTACTGTGCATGGGAACTAATTATTTTTTTATTTAATTATAAAACCAAGGTATGATCTTTCAATAATGTCGTACGTAGTTGATCTCTAGGTTATTTAAACCCCGGAATTTTGCAATAAATTGGAAACAAAAAGGAAAAAGGAAGGAGTTTGATTGCATGCAAGCAAAAACATATATAGTTGGTTGATTTTATTTTTCGGAGAAACGAGAGCAGTTCTATTGAAAAGTTAAGACGGATTACAATTATAATCTTCAAAGATGATGTGCCAAATTAAGTTCAGAGGCTACTCGAACAAAAAAACCTCGTGATCATAGTACAATGCCACTTTGGTCAATCTATGAGCCATTCTATTGTCGGAACAATGAACTCGACCAATCTATATAAGCAAAAACCGAGTTGGTTTGCTGTTTAGGCTTCATGCATGTTGATTATATTTGTCGCTCACAATTCTTGCTCTAATATGCACGAAATTTTAACTAATCATTCTAACACGGGTTACAAAGAGAAAGTGAACAGGGGGTGGGATACACAGTGGCGAAGCCAGGAATTGCCGAAGAGAGGGGCGAACTTAAAAAATGCAAAGTTAAAAAAAAAAGGGCAACAACCAAATTACAATTGTTGCTGACGATGTTTCATGTCATGAAAACGTGCATAATAGATTATTGTCAATAAAACAAATACATGTATTTCAATGTAAACAATCATGTTATCATTTAACCATTGATCCCGACCATAATAAAACATCGATTGTTGCTAGCTTTTCTTAGCAATGATGTGGTCTTTAGGTTGACAATAATCATTTTGAAGAGTGTCTATGAATTGCTTCTCGATCAATAATCATATAATTCATATCAATAATCAATAACCATATTAATGTATTATCATACGATTCTATACTAATTAAAGAAAAAATTGTATTGAATAATTAATTAGGGTTTGAAATAATATATAAATTTAGAAAATAAAAAATTTACATAAAATTGGGAAGGATGGCGTGACGGGTGGTGATTGAAATGGAAGCTAGGAATTGCGGGATTTGTTGTGTTTGGTAAAGTGTGTGAGTGAGAGATGGGAAATTGAAAGGGTGATGGATAATGGGAACCAGGGGTCCACACAATATTTTATTATTGTTTTTTAATGAAGCTGGAAAATTGTGTCCTTTTAGTTAATAATTTATTTTTTTATATAAAAGCAAGTCCCGTGCAGGGGCGTTGCAGCAACAAACGCCAGAAAGCCACCATACTTTCCAGTTTCCGACCGAACCAAAAAGGCGCTCCTGGGCTTGTTTTCCGGCGAGCGGAGGGGCGACGGCCACCCCTCGCCCCTATGTAGCTTCGCCACTGGGGATACATGTTTTTTTTTTTTTTTCTTTTTATTAACTTTATTAGATTATATATTATATTAGTCACCTACGGAATTTGAACCCCTACCGTCATACAATGACTCAACAACATTTCACCACCGTGTAAAGAGTCATTTGCAAGGTGGGATACATGTTAATTATAGGAAAAGAGCTGAACAAAAAAATAGTACTAGAAAAAGCCGAAAAAGGGACTCTACACGTCTTGCCTATATAGACGGTTTAATTCAAACTTCGCTCCGGAAAATTCGAAAAGGGGGCCCTAAATGTCTTCTTTAAGAGTGAAAAAAGAGGGAAATGCATGAAACGTATGGAGAGGTATATTATGCTGGTAGTGTCTCAAATTTAGATGTCATATGTTTTAACATTTTTACATAAAATCACATCATGATTTAAGATATTGTCACTTTGACATCTCTGTTTCACGTAAGTTCTTAAGTGAAGACGTGCCAAGGTTTGAATCCTTCTACAATGTCCACTAGTACTACTACAAGTTTCTCAACTCATTCACACTTTTGTTTGCGTACATACATAGAAAAGTAGGATTTTTCACTTTGCAATATATGTTTTCATATTGTACCTTGAACTTCATAATTCACATTGTACGTATTGAGTAGAATCTACATTTTCTTGCGTGGTAAAATGCATGGCATCCACCAAGATTTTATAAAGTGTAATTTAGTCAAATTGACGAGTATACATTTGAACAAGAATTGTTTTTGTGGTTTACAATAACTTAACATAATTAAGCTTTAGAAAACCGTACGTTGTGGATTATATAATTTTGGCGCGTAAGAAAGTGCAGTCCCACACTCGTCATGTAAGCAATTAAGAACGGCTCAATTATTGACAATTTAATATTTGATGAAACTTACTGAAAGTGTAAATTAAAAGATGAATATAACTTTACGGCGTACATTGTAGACTTTCAAAGTTCAAGCTTAAAGCAATGTGAAAAATCGGAAAGGGATCATCTACGGATCTCTTTCCATCTAATTCATCAAGTTTGTGATTTGGATCGTTGAAATTTTATCTAACTGCTACAAACAGAAGGTCTCTTTAAAAGTTATAATAATTGTAGCCGTTAGATCAAATTTCAAGAGTCCGGATCTCAGACTTGATGAATTAGGTGGCAAGGGATCCTGAAAAACCAACATTTACACTCAGAGTGAAAAGTGAAATTAACCCCAGATTAATTCATTACACTTTTTTTCATACACATTTCTATATTACAAAACCAAAGAGTCTTTTAAGGGAAGAGATTCCCATTTTTTTTAAATGAGAATTAGTTGTGAGGTCACACCACATTGAACTTCAATAATCCAAATTACCTGTTTTTAAAGTTGTACCTCATAGATCATTGTTCCCAAATATTAGCCAAACTAGAAATATTTTAGACATCTAATTGAGTTCAAAGAAATTGACGAACACTATTCTAAGAAACTAGTGAAATTTTATCTTGACAATTAAATAGGCAAATGGTTTCGGATTGAATTGAATTTTTGCAAGGATTATCTATGAGTAGAGACTTATAAAATAAAAAATTCAGATCGTTGAGATTTGATATAGAGTGGGTCTCACAACTAACCTCCATTAAAAAAAATAGAAAACTCTTACTTTAAAGGGCTTGTACAAAACCATACAACAAAATGCGAATATTATATAGTGCTTTAGAGTATAAAATATTTAAAAAAATTTAATTATGAGATCTTATTCTATTTTAACTCAGGATTTAACGACAAAAATATCGAGGTATAAAATTCTTTGGTATACTAGAAAATCCAATAATATATATATAGAGGAAATCTTTAAGGAAAGGGATTCCCATTTTTTTATAAAAATGGGGATTAGTTGTGGGGTCCACATTACATCGAACTTTAACGATCCGAACCGTCTATTTTTCAAGTTGCACCTCATAGATCATCCTTACAAAATATTAGCCAAATCGGAATTGTTTAAGACATCTAATTGGGTTCAAAGAAATGAACGAATACTTTGTTATATAAGAAATAATGAAATTTTATCTTGATAATTAAATAGGCAAATGGTTTCGGATTAAATTGAATTTTTGCAAGAATGATCTATGAATTGAGACTTACAAAATAGACGGTTCGGATCGTTGAAGTTCGATGTGAAGTGAGCTCACACCTAATCCCCATTTTTTGAAAAAAATGGAAATCCTTTTGCAGCCTGTATATATATATATATATATATATATATATATATATATATATATAAATATATGTTATATGCTATACAAGACTAATAAGTATACATTACTCGTCAAAGTGGAGGGGGAGGGGAGAGGGAGGATTGAGAGGGATTGATGGAGAGTTTGGGGTCGGTAGGGCAGTGCCGACAGAATCATGATGTCGGGCAGCGTGGGAGCAATTATTGGGTTTCTCCTCTGATTTCGGACGCGTCATGTCCGCATCAGATTCCCTTCTCCGTACACCCTTCTCTCACCGCATTTCCCGCTCCACTGTACCCAGCACCAAACACCAAATCTCTCGACATTTTCCATACCTCTTTTACGGTACGTACTAACCAAGTGTTTCCAAAAATTAACAGTCTAAATCTTGTATAAAAAAATCTAATCGATTTTGCAACGGTTAAATTTTGTATAGAATCATCTTACTTGGTGTCATACCATATAGACAAACTCCTTCATTTCTTGTAATATGTACCCCAAAATTAATTTAACATATAACTAAGCTTAATAACCAACCACAAAAGGTTTGTTTAATGAAAAGCGAGAAAATGTTTAAAACCTCCAATTCGAGCTCGAGCTCTTACAAGTAAAATTTTTGCGGTTACCAATCCTGTGTTAATGTATTTTTTAACTTAAGGGTCAAAAGTACACTACAGCTTGGTGCAATGTACTAAGATTGTATAAAGAGAATGATTAATTCGTCATCAATGAACCTAAAACAACTTGGAGACCATGGTTGTGTGTAATATTAATCACAAAACATGCATGCGTGTATAAAGAGAATGATTAATCTCTCATCAATGAACCTGAAACAACTTGAAGACCATGGTTGTGTACAATCTTAATCACCACACCATGCATGCTTTATTTACCGTGTAAGCTTAACTATAAACCCATGCATTTATATATGACTTAAAGTTGAAAACAAAAAGATATGGGAAATACTCTAATATGGGACAATTTCTTAATCTTGGGACAGAAATAGGACAAACCGACCATGCACAAGCCATGCACTCAATGCACAAAACCGAAATTACTAAAATACCCATATATAAATACTAAAAATCATCAGTCCATTGCATCACTGTTCTCATTTGAAAGAGAAGGTTGTCGAGAGAGTTCTGTGAGCTCTAGGTTTCTGGGATGAGCTCATATCTCTGAGCTCTAATTTCAAAGAGAAGAAAGTCCAAAAAGAGGCAAGAAGAGTGAGCTGGGTTTTGGGTTGACCTCATACCTCTAATTTTGAACAAATGGATGCGAGAGATATGTGAGAAGAGTGAGCTGAGTTTTGTACCATATTTTCTGTTTTGGCCAGAAAGTTCCATTTTTTCTAGCAACTAATGCTTCGGCAGGCATAGTAAGGTAGGGTGTTTAGTTCCAAGTTCCTACATCAATGATTTATGGAATAAATGGTATGAATTAATACTTAGAAGTTAAATTAGGGTTTATGTTTCATGTTGGGGCGTATGGGTTATGGAATAAATTTCAAGTTTGACGAGCTAAAAAAATGGGATAGAACAATTTCTGGTTCAAGTGTCCAATTGCAGAAATTTGTGAAATTTTTTTTGTAATGTGCATGTGGTGTGCATGGTTACATCTTAACATAAGAAGTGTGAATGTTCGTTAATTATGATGCACGTATGTTGTGCCCCGGAATTTAGCGAGTATGACAATAACCTAGTTAGCCTCAACAAAACACAAAAAATAAAAAATAAAAAATAAAAAGCTTAGAGGACATTAAGCATCATGCATGTCCATGAAATAACGACAACAAATATTATGTTTTTTACGTGCACGGTAGGGGTGGGTTCAAATAACCGAAAACCGAAAAAAACCGAAAACCAAACCGAACCGAGGCCGAAAAAAACCGAACCGAAAAAAAACCGAACCGAAACTGCCAAACCGAACCGAACCGAATCTGGTTGGTTCGGTTTCGGTTTTTAAGGTTCGGAAACCGAACCAAACCGAACCGAACCGAACAATATATATATTTAATTTTTTTTCAATATTATAAATAATGTAGTGATACAATCATAACAAGACATAACCTGTTACCAAGTTGGTTTGCTTGAAACTTTTCAAGTCCCTGCGCATGGGTTCGAAACCTCCTGCCTCCAGGGTTTCAGAAAAGTTTTTAAGTATTTTTTAGCAATCAACAAACCTTTTAACTTAAAATTAAATATAAATACTTAAAACCTGCTGCTGTGAAGAATCGAACCCCTTCCGTCCAGGAGGGATAATTCCTTCAAGCCAACTTGACTGTAGGCCTGTTGTTGCTATATCTGTACCAGTATATAATTTATAGGTATTCTAATCGCTAATGCTTTATAAAATTTGTTAAGTTTACAAACCCTAGCGGCCGTCACTCATTTTTGAGTTTTCATTCTCAGTCTCTCTCTCCCTCATCCGCTGCTCTCTCTCCCTCATTCCTCAGTCTCTCTCTCCCTCCTTCCTCTCTTCCTCTCTTCCTCTCTTCAACTCTCCTTCCTCTCTTCCTCTTTCCAACGTGCCAAGTCCATGGTTGTAACATGGATCTTTAGCTCTCCTTCCTCCGGATTTCTTTAACAGTAAGTATTCAATTTCTTCCTTTTTTTTCATTTTCTTGTTTAATTCTTTGAGTGCTGAAAATGGTAGTTTATTTATTTATTGATTAATAGTTTTTATTTCTTTAGTTTTGTTTGAATATGCTTTGTGAATTTATTTGTTGGCTTTGTGAATTTATTTGTCCGAGGCCCGCGGATTGGCGGATCTGGAGGAGAAGGATCTCGAAAAGGAGGAGCAGGCGGCGTTGGAGAAGAATTCGGATGAGGTGAAGAAGAAGCAGAGCCGTACGGTCGAGGAGGAGGAGGCGGCGTTGGAAACATGTCATATTTTCTATTTCTATATTATGTTGTGCTTGTTTTGCATTTTTTGGAGGAAAAAAAAAACCGAAAAAAAACCGAAACCGAACCGAAAAAACCGAACCGAAAAAAAAACCGAACCGAAAAAAACCGAAAAAAATTTGGGCCGAACCGAACCGAACCGAAATTTCGGTTTGGTTTCGGTTTTGGCAAAAAACCGAACCGATAAAAACCGAACCCAGCCCTAGTGCACGGGTAGGTGGTGGTTGATATACTTAACAAGACTTTTCAAATTGTCATTGTAACCTTATATACGTAACAATTATGTTTTAATTGTATCCACTATACCAACATGTTGCCGTTAAATTTTCTCCCGCTCTATGCATATCATGTGCATGTACTATATATATTATGTGCATGTGGTATGCATATAATGTATATGGTGCGTATTTACATCTTTGATAATCTTTGCATTAACATAGTTTACTACCTTTTCCTTTGATTCAGAGGCAAGCCCTCATATACGAAAAAAGCGAACAAGTTTGTGAAACAATTTCCCTTGGTTCAATTAGGTTCTTTCGTGCCCATTCAAACTACAATTTTCAAATCCTTGAAATATTTGAACCCAATCAAATTTGATACCAAATTCAAATTAAATGAATCTTTGATCTTATGCTCACATATCTGAGCAAGCTTAATACGAAGAGAGCAAACGAGTACGCGAGACAATTTCATCAATATCCTTCTCTCTTCCTTCTTTACACTATGATTTCTCTCATTTCCCTCAAATTTATCTCTTCTCCAAAAGGCAACTGACATTTAATACGTATTTTCATTTAATTGCAACAAAACACAAACCCTATTTTAGTGCTTGTAAATTTGGATTGAGAGAGTGAGTAGAGGAAGGGAGAAGATAGAAAAAATGAAAACCCACATATAAATAAGAGAAATGATAAAAATAAAAATAAAAAATTGAAGGATTTGGGTCTCCTCCAATAAACACCAAACCAATTACTTCAACTCCAAAAATCCATTAATCAAAAAGCAAAATTAAATAAACCCAGTTCACAAAACCTACAAATGAAAAGGTAAAAATCGAAGAAGATGAGTGGGTTAGATAGAGAGAGAGAGAGAGAGCTTGAATGAAAAAGATGGGTGGGTTAGGGTTCTTCGAATTGGAATTGGGCTAGAGAGATTTTCTCCCTCTCTCTTTTCTATGTTTCTCTCTCTACAAAATGTGAAATAGATGCTGAAATTTCTGGATAACCTATTTATATGGAATGACAATTTGGTCATTTCAAGGTGTAGGAAAAATCCTATTTTTGTCCGATTGTTATGCATAACGTGTGTATATTCGAAATGTTCTATTTATGTCCCAAAATTAAGAAATGATCACATTTTGAAATATTTTCCAAAAGATATAGAGGTTCATGGACCGATCCGAATTTATGCATCTCTTAGACTTGTACTACGTTGCAGATAAAGGTTATATGGTTAATATTTGTCTGTTTTGAAGAGTTTGTCATGTGGTGACAAACACTTCCTTACAAATTAAAGGTGTGTCGAAGCGAAATCTGCTCCACTAGCTATTTAAAGTAATATATTTGGATGAATGTTTCGTTGTATCCTTTTTAATTTTTTACCAAGAACATTCTCTTTTAAAATACACCATAACCTTTTCAATAATGACGGTGTCAAACCTAATTATTAATGGATAACTTTGTGTCGGCATGCCATCATGAATGGAACTATGTGATAACTAGCTTTGATTTTGTTTGGATTGTTTCTAGAGGGCTCTAAAGCGTCTTTTTATTATTGAAAACGTTCATGTGTACGTTTGACATAAAATTTAAAATTAATGACATATATTGTAAAAGCACATTGTGGAAAAGTACCATCTATATACTTATTCAAGAAGCACTCTCATGTGCTCTCCCAAGAATTAAGCGCTTCTGGAAAAAGCATATAAAAATGCTAGAACTTGAATTTTTAATAAAATTTTTGATGTGTTTCAAATAAAAGAACTTCTAGCAATAACACTGATGAGCAAAAATAGTTCTTATCCTAACGTTTGTTGATTTGAATACTAAATCATATTCATTCTTAAAAACAACAATAGAGACTGTTTATTAAGCAATACTAGCTAGGTAGGTGGTATGCACCAGTGAGGGATGGATCCATAGGAACTAAGGTACAACTGAGACACAGCGTGAGTTGGGATAAATGTATGGGAAGCTCATTTGGGAACCTTTTGAATTTCTGGTATGTAACTCAAAGTGCCTACCAAGTGTTCAAAGAAATACCCGATCAGCAAACCACGGTAGCATTTTTTAGCGTGTGTAAGCAACACTTAGCAGGTCTCGCTGATCACAAGTTGTCGACAAGCATGAAGCATAGTTCAACAACTTACTACGTAAATGCTTACTAAGTGATCAACGAAATATCTCACTTAAAAATTGAAAGATTTTAGATATGTATCTCGGTCTAAAAGAAACTTGTATCTTTTACACTAGGAATCTCCGAGATCAAATCAGTTTTTTTTTTCAACAAATGCATGTATAAAAAAAGGGGCGTGATATCCACAAACCCTTTTACTTTCACACATTTTTTTTAATTTTCGATCGTCAGATCGGATGAATTGAAGAATATTAAAAGATAAAAATTAATGAGGAGATGTGTAAATAGCACACTCCTAATAAAATAGTATTATACTTTTGTCTCCATTGCAAAGTCTTGGATAAGATGAAGGGATTCTCCAGATAAAATCAGCTCATATGAACTAGGTGTAATGGGAGGGCCCTGTCACAGCGACACATGGCGGAGAAAGACAAGTGGCCTGGTCGTCGGTCAAGAGGGGAATAGCACGCTCAGCCACAGAGGGCCATAGAAATGTCTCCGGCAATCTATCATAGGTCGCTTTCAGCCTTGTCAGTCTCCATCCACTCCTCCTCAACTGCTTACTGCTTTACTGCTTACTGCTTACTGCTTACGGCTTTACTGCTTACTGCTTACTGCTTATTCGGTCTCCTATATAATCACTGACAATGCCTCCCTTTTCTTCCCCACTCCATCAGTTGAGAGTTTTGATCGCTATCTCTCTCCGTCTCACTCTTTTGTATTTGGCCTTTTCTGTTGTGGACATGATTCCCTCTCTCACATGTATCAATGATCACACTTGGGTGTGCCCACATTGAGAAAAATGTTCACGTCTATGACAACTTCTAGTTCTATTCGTCTTCTTTTCTTGGTCGGATACAAGAACATGTTTTTCAATTTGTTCTCAACTAGAATATCTTGCTGGCTCACCCTTTTCTTGGGTACAAAAAATTCATGACAACACAAAATTAATATATGCAGAGATAATTACGTACAAATCATCTGTATCAAATGAATTCGATCAAATATTCTACATATTTAAAAGTTGAACTTTGCTACATTTGATTTATAGTTTATCTTGTATTCGTTGTTTAATATCTTACTATGCATGGTGTACCCATGAGTTTAAACACTCTTTTAACTTCTTTTTGTCATATATAGAGGGTAAATATGTTTTCATGTTTTGTATATTGGTTTGAGACTTGCAAGTTAACCATTTGTGTTAATTCACATTGTTTAGATAATAAACACCATATTGCCGACTTAAAAAAACCACCATATTTCCTTTTTAAGCTTATCGGTTTAACAAGGAATTGAACTCATTACGGTGTAAACGGATACTGTCATCGGTTACAAATTTTAGTATACTAGACTCAAGTGCATAGGAGCATTTAAATGTACTCAAGATTCTTTGTTCAACTTCCTCTCCTCTAATATCTTTCTAATAAAATTAAAGAAAGCTGCATGTTAAATTCTGTGGGTGGTAATGGTGCACATTGTCATAAAATAAACCTTCTGTATGACACCTGTATCTGCCGTACACAAACATAAATTATTCTTATTCAAACATGCTGGATGGCGCCTGGTAAGACAAATATTCCAACATCTTGAAAAACGTCTTCCAAACCAAGGGAAAAAAAGAGAGAGAATCATGCATCTATACAAGATTGTGAACGTAAGGATTTAGATTTCAATGTAAGCTTGAATTGGTTGAAAGAGATGGATGTGGAATGTATAATTTCACACCACAAGATTCAAAAGTAAGTTCTAAGGGCGCGTTTACTAATTCGTAATCAGATTGAAGGGAATTGAATTGAGGAGGAATCGGATTGAGGAAGAATTGAATTGAGAATGAAACAGAATTAGATTCATGTTGGAGTTATTTACTAAAACTGTCTAGAATCGGAGTAGGAATGACATCGATCTATATAAACTGTTTACTAATTCATTTGAATCGGAATGAAAATTAATGTGATTACTAAAATTCCCCTAGTGTAACTAATCTAATTTATATGCTAATTATTTTTAGTTAAATTTTATTTTTTTTAATTTTGTTTTTATAGTAGAGAGTATAGTTTTTCTTTAGCAAAACTTCTATTCTTTTTTGGGTTGTTTAGAAAAACGCCCTTGAAACTCCTATTTTCCAAACAAAAACCCACCTAATATTAAACATCCAAAAATAACCTTTAATATATATACATATGAAATTATAAAATTGTCTCTTAAAAAATATTCCCATAATCTTCTACCTCTTCCCTAGAAGCATCATCTTGTACCTGTTCAATGAAAAAGTCATCTTCTAATTCCATTGCTATTTTTTTACTTTCTCTAAATGAAAGGAGATGAAAATATGAATTAGGGTTTAAGGTAGACAAATTGTCTCCCATGCCCAACCTGTTTTTTTTTTTTTTTTAATTAAGCAAAACAAGATAATTAATGTCTTTATCAGTTTTTTTGTAAATGGACAAATTTGTAATTAAAAAATTCATTAAAAGGTGGGTGGGAAGATAAGACATTGGGGTGGGAATAACACCACTCAACCCAAATTTCAAATTGAATACCATGTAGACAAATATGTAACCAATTATCATCACATATTTACAACTTATGCCACAAAACCCTAATTATGTCAATAAATATTATTACTCACCCTAATTATGATTAGCGATTAACCCCATATGGAAATTTTACCTTTCTTGTACGATAAATAGTAGGAGCATATATATATATATATATATTTATTTAGCCATGTACATACACAATTATTGTAACATCCCACATCGCCCAGGGGAGTGAATCCTGTAAGCCTTATATGTATATTCCCATCTCTACCTAGCACGAGGCCTTTTGGGAGCTCACTCGCTTCGAGTTCCATATATACTTCGAAGTTAAGCGAGTTCGCGTGAAAGCAATCCCAGGATGGGTCACCCATTTGGAAGTTCTCGTGTGAGTTCCCAAAAACAAAATCATGAGGGCGTGGTCGGGGCCCAAAT